CTGTTGAACTTGAGACAGACGACAGTTTAGTACTATGGCGTTTGTCCCCCCCCCACAGCTCAGTAAATAAGCTCCTGTCATTGACTGCCATGCAATCATCCAACCTGCGGCACATCCAACCAACATATCACAGAACGGCTTATAGTAAATAAGTATAATAAATATAGTAAATAAACTTTATGATAACGATACGCCTGACGCATCCGCCATTTGATATGGAGCCAGTTAGGCCTGCTATTCACTTTTGTGTTGCGTTGTGCATGTTTCATTTAAACCACACAATTACATACAGTAAATATTCAGTGTTCCCCCAAGTGTCCAGAATTTTCATGTCGCTCATAAAATCAGAAGCCTTGGTGTAACTTTCGAATTAAACACATAGCTGCTGTAATCCTTGAGTTCCGATTCAGCCATTCTGATGCTCATTCTATGATCCCTCGCATCTTCGTTGAACCTAAATTCCGCTTGATGTTCGCAAGTCAAAACTGACTTTTCTGCATGGTGACCTTATGTTATAATGACGAACATCGGAGACAAACCATGTTTTCCCATAAACGGAACCGCTTTCTCGATCGTCCGTTAGACATGGTAAGCGAAGAACGTGTCCAGTGACCTGGGTAGCTGCCTGTATGCAATTTTCCTAGGCAGATTAATGAACCTGCTTTCAGCAGCATTGCAAATGTATAACCGCGTTTTGAGAATTTTTCATTTCATCTTTCCTTGTAACAGATTGGTTTGTAACGTCGGCAACGATGGTTTCAGTTCTTCAGACAAACATAGCGGCAGAATGGGTGCTTCCTGAATGTATGACCTCTCGTAATAGACTAACTGTCTGCTGCTTGCTTCGTATTTAAAAATCTTAGTGCTTTCTACTTCTCGTACGCGTTGCGGCCTGCAAAGGAAAAAAGAAGCAGTAGAAGGGGTGGAGAAATTCACCACCGCCTTGGGTTCGTATTTCCTGGTGACGGAGAATGGTCAGAAGATATCCAATTACAATGAGTAGAGACATCCTCCTCGAATCAGCTCGAACTGACTAAAACTGAGCTGAGTCTGAGGACTAAGTTTTCAGCATTCAAGGCTATCTTCGCCTTCATGCATTCCTACGATCATGAATCGTATGCCATTGCTGAAAATCTTCGATCCCGGGTACAAGCGGTTGAAATGGAATTCTGGGACGAGTCGTTAGCCTAACGCCTCTTGACATGGCCTGAAACACAGACATCTGCGAGACAGCCGCTGCTTCTTCAGATTGAGAAGTGACAGCTGGGATTG